GTAAATTCATGTGTTATAGATTGTATTCATAAATTGTGTATATAGACAGGTGAAACATGAGAATACGGTAAAGAGATCCCTGTAAAGAGATCCTTACTATAAGCTGGGTAATGAAATCATGTAAGATCACAAATGGAGCCAGATAATTAACTACACCCTGCTGTACAACTGCCAGAGGTGAGTGCATACTCCTGGAGTCACACCATCTGGTAAGTGGTTTCTAAGTAAAATGTCAAACTACTTACAACTTACAGGACATGGGTTACCCTGCCGTCCATTTCTACACTGGTAAGAAAAGAAAAGTCCTCTCAGCATCTTGAAAATTCTGGACTGCAGGTTCATTTTTTCCTCTAATTAAATGGATTTAATCAGAGATAATACATTTGATAGATCAAAAACAGCCTAATGCAAGAACTGCTGTGCCTTGCAAGTCCAGATTTTCTGGCTCTCATGGTTGAGCAATGACATTTCTGACAGCTTTCTGTAGCAATGTGACAGCCTGGAAGCAAATTATAAATTTCAGGCTCTTTTTTTTCAGCAGTCTTTTTCCATATACTCAAGATTATACAGTCATTCTTACTACAGTTCCTACAAATATAAGGACTTTTCTCAATATTCTGAAACGTCCTCTTAGGGAAGTTTCTGCTTTCTTATCAGCAGCATTTATTAGGTTTTAGTTCTCAGAACAAAAGTGATTTCATGATGTACCTTGCCAAAAGTAGCAACCTTACTTGTACACAGACATTCAGAAAGACCTTGAACCAGGACTGTGCTATCTGAGGCTATCCAGGCCCCCTATTACCTCCTCTAAATAGGAATGAAAAAACCTCTTCTCCCAAGCTCATCCTTAAACATTTTTGCAATTGCTATAGACTTCCAAATCTGCTTGATGAGAAGACTAACTCAGTTCAAGCTTGTTTGTGTTCTGAGAAGGACAAGGGTGATGTCCTCATCAGAACAGAAAGTGGCTGAGAGGTAGCTGATGAACGTGAGAAACAATTTAAAATTGTTTAGTCTTTGCACCTCATCAGATGTTCCTCATCAGAAATGTTCCTCCAGCATCAAGTCTTTTAATTTAATTGTCCTTTTTTTTTTAAGGCCCTACAGATACAAATTACTCCTCTATTTGGGGGGTAAGGCACCTAAATGCATCACCCCAAAAACTGAAGAAAATGAAGGGGGTACATCATGGTATACATGCTCAACTCTGCCACCTCCTAACTTTCTGGAGTGGGAACGTATCATTAGCATCCACCAACTCTCACTGTTATGCCACTCCACAAATGTAACATCTTTTCAGAGGGAAACAAAGGGCTAAACTGAGGGGGAAGGGGAAGTACCACCATATTGCCTTAAATATCCATCCAAGCACAAGTCCTGCCTGCATGCCATACAGGCTGCACAGAATCTGCAGCCTGAACTGAGAGATTGATAGAGGTCTGCTAGAAGAAAAGCTTTCCTCCTCATCTACTCTGCTTTACTGTTAAAGATGGGGAAAATATTCACAAGGTCAAACTTAGAAAGCAGAATAGCATACTTCTTGAGGTAAACAGAGCAAAACATCTAAGATTTGTTTGTAGTCCAAAAATGTATAGAAAGTCCGTAAAAACTAAGAGGGGGAAAAAAAGAAAACCATGTTATTTTAAGAAGTAAAAAATAATCATTTAAGTCTTCCAGACTTCTATTTACTTTGTAGAATGATAAGTACGTATTACAATCTCCGTTTCAAACGCAGTCAGACCCTATTTTTATTTTGAACAAATAGTTGCAGAAAAAACAGCTTAAAATATTTCCACTGTTATATTCTACTTTTAAAGCATCTAGAAGTTAGGGGAAATGAAAAGGAAATAAAATTAAATTAGTGTAGTAACATTTTAATATTATCTTTGTCAAAAGTATTGTATTAGCAGGTTTAACAAACCAGCACATTCATCAATTATTTTTTGTCTTGCATTGGCAGACAAAATCCTGTAACAGAATTCTTCAAATACATGTATAAAGCAGAAACAAAATAAACAAAGTATTGAACTCTCACAAGGAATCTATACATAGCATCCACACTGAAATAAAGAACTCCTCCAAGAAGTCCTTAATGTTTAGGAATAAAATCTTAGAAGGAAAACCAAGAAAAGAGCAAAGCCTTCCATAGGAAAAATTGTAATTAGATAACTGAATCTAATGAAATCTGTGGAATGGATGTGCAAAAATCCATTGGATAACTATCAAGAGACAACACTGGACAAGAATAGTTTATTTTCCTAATGATTTTCAAGCATAAATGTTAACTACAGATCATGTGTAAAAATATACAATAATATTGTGCATATTGTAATACACCCTATATGGTAATGCAACTTATTGGATCCTCCTAGTGAAGAGGAATAGCAGAAACTCTACTTCTCACATTCCTCTGCAGAGATAATCAGCACTGATGATGTGACATTTCTGAAGCCCTCAGACCCTTCCTACAGCCTTTACTATATTTTTTTTTTTTAATATGTCTGCTATGGTTGTAGAAAATGATCATACTTGTTTAGAAAGGTCTGGACTAGACAGCCTAAGGAATTACTGCTATTAACAGTGGGAAAGAATGTGTGACTGTGTGCCTCTGTGGATAACTAACAAATAAATTACTGAAGGAAACAGATATTAAATAAGCACAGTACTTTTGGGGATCACTCTTTGTTTGCAAATCAAAATCATAATTAGCTGCACACATCAGGATTGTTAATTTGTGCTCCCTCTACTGGTTAATTCACCCTATAGCCATAAAAATAATAATAGTCTGTACAAAATCCCCCAACTGTTGTGTTGCAACTCAACAGCCAAAAAAACCTGAAACCAAATTATGTTATTAAAGGAAACCTTTATACAAAGCTGATATCTTACACATCAGTTCTAAATGTCATCTTAGCTCATTAAAATGTCAGAATAGAAGCAAAAGGATCTTGCAGTTCAAACAGATGTTTCCTATCATACCAGCTTGTTTCGTGTGTCTAGTCCACAGAACTTCCACTTCCCTCAGATTTAGAAATGCAATTAAACATTTCAAATTCTGAATCATTGTAAGAAGCCGCTGTTAATTGGATTTTTAATTGAAAGCTCCTTTTTTCTCCTCCTCATACAAAACACCATCAGCAGCAGAGCTGCAAAGCAGCCCAGATCACAGCACAACTTAGGCTGGAAGGCAGGGTTTGGCAGCCCACCTGATCCACCGCCCTACTCACAGTGGGGCAAACTCCACGCTTGGGTCAGGATGCTTAGGGACTTGTCCTGTTGATGCCCGAGTATATCCAACGCTGAAGCTACTCAGGAGTAACCTCTCCAGCAAACTCATTCCTGTACTTAATGACCCCCATGGTGAAAAACTTTTCATGGCATACGCAAAATATTCATTAGATCCAGATAAGCATAATGCAAAGTCTGAGTATGAGCAAACAGCGAATTTGTAACAAAACCCAGAACAGTTTACCAAAAATCGTGTGATCTGATCATGATTACTACTAGCACAAGCAGCCTATTTCCTGGGCAATGCAAATGCCACCAGCAGCTTGAATCACCTGAAAGAACCAGAGACGACCTTTACTTTTGAATTTTGATGGTGTAATACCTATGGGACTCTGCATTTCATCTGAAGTTTACAGTATATACTCTATAAATATTTATACAGCATATAGCAGATCCTCTGACTCTTTTTATTTCATAAAGCATAAATAACTTTCATATATCCACAGGTTTTCTGATCTCCTCTCCTGGAGAGGTAATTTAAATACTAATCTTAAATGTCAGCTTCTGACAAAGAACTGTTTAAATGACCTTTAATTGGAGTGAGTTGTAGTAAACATTAATGTATTAGTACAATTACTTTTAGCTAGCAAAAGTGGAAATAATGGCCAATTTAATTTACCTTGCTCAGTATGGGGTTTTTTATTAATTGGCTTTAGTTTTGTAGATGAGCAAGACAAACTTCTATTGTTATATACAGATTAGAAATGTAAACACTTAACAATTCCCACAACGACTGACTTCAGAACTGATTCGGAGTATAATTTCAAAAAAAGCATTCGAAGAGCCAGTTTGACAAAGAGCACTACTGCCCCCTAATGCGCCAGCCCACAAAAGTTCCCCGGTAACAGCATTTCGTGTCTTTCCTCAAAAAATCGTTATTATATCCATGAATTATTAAAAAACAAACAAACAAAAAAGTTTTGTGAGAAATGAAGACAATCCTTACGAACATATACACTAAATTCATGCCAAATTTCTGAGTAAAAAGTACACCCATAAGTTTGGGGAGAAAAAAAGTAGTATCTAGTATCTAGGATTTTCAGGTAACATAATATTTAGTGCACAAAGAGATCATGAAGATACAAAATACAGCACAAAAATTATGTTCCAACACTTCTGTCAGTATATAATCAGATATTAGCTAATCTTAAACCTATTCTATGCTAGGATGTAATAATTCAGAAAAAAAACCCTGTCATTACCTTCATACCAACCCAGATTTTTAAATTTTACTGTTCATAGCGTGGCAGCATCAGTATGTTTTTCTTGGTGCACTGGTCTATCTAAATGCCAGTTAAAAGTCTATTCTAGGCTTGTAATTATTGCAAAATAATTCTGATCTTGGTATCTAATTACACCCACAAAAAGAAACAGAGAGGAAACAATCAAAAAAATCAACTTGCTGAATTCTGTTTGTAAATGAAACACACAAACTTTCTGTGTCATGTGAAAGTGACATTTTTTCCTCTTTTTTTTTTTCATTGTTTAGCCACAGAATTGAATTTGTGCTGAATGCACTGCTGCCCAGTGCAGCTTGGACATAAAATATTGTTTGGTTCCTGTATTTGAATTTCAAAAATGCAGACTGCAGTGAATTGCTGAAAAAAATACAACTGCTCTAAGTGCTGGTGAGAAGCACAAACATAAGCTGTGTACTCTCTTTCATTCTACCATAAATCAGAAATTCAACTCACATTAGTAAAATTACTGTGATTTAAATGCAATACTGAAGCAGAACTGAGTTCTGATTTTTCCCCTCAAATCTTTTATACTGACTTTTTCATAGATAAACATTCTGACAGACACCACAGAGGTAGAGACTCCAATCTCTATTAGCACAATAAGGTTAAAAGCAATTAATGTGTTTAATTTAAAACATGCTAGCTAATCAAAGCTACAAAAATTATATTCATTAGTGGTTTTTGGCCCCTGAAACACCACCAGTCACTAAAATTCTTGAACTTAAAGACTTTATCGTAAAACCTCCATATACTGGCTTTCTGTGGCCTCACATACTATGTCATCATTCATATAAATACATAATCAGCACAGAAAGGTTGCAAGTGATGAGTAATATCTTACATAACTACACACATGGTAGAAGGCTGCAAGTGACTAGGCATTAGAAGTGTAAGAAGTACCAGTCGCATGTGATAAAAATAAATTATCCACAAAGGTATCGTAGAGACCTAAAATAACCACATTCAATGACACCTCTCTATTATGTTACAACCCAAAGAGCTGGTAACACAGCTCTCGGTCTACGTAATACAGATGCTATTACATCACTACTTCACAATTCCAAGTGCTTACTATAATGTTATGTAATATAAAAATTAAAACACTGGCGAGACTAACAATGAGCAAGAGTTCCAGCTGATACCTCAGAACTCTGAACATAAGGCCATCAACCACAACTCATTCCAACTCTGCCAGGCATGTATTTCTTACCTTTGAATCTTCATTGCTCACTCCCAGCTCTAGCACAGCTCGAGGAGACTTCAGCTTCGCTTGCATGGACTCTGCCATTTGAAGATTAAGCTGCCATCCAATTGTTTCAAGCTATAAAACACAAATTTACATTACAATCAGATGGTACAGAAGCACTCGGGTCAACTTTTCAAGATTGTGAATGGTCTGTGTCAGTGAACACTATGTTAGGCTCTACAAATGTTAAGCATTTTTATACAATGCACATTCCGCAAATTCTCCTGGACTCCAAGACAGATTTGCTTCTGTCTCTTGCCAAATTTATCAGTTTAAATTGCTCGTGACCACCCGAAATAAAGGGATCTCGTATACCTCAGATCTGCTGGAACCAATCCATAAAACACAACTAAGGATCCAAAATATTTGGATATATATTACTCTCTCCTTGTGGAAGTTTATCAGCAAAGTTGTGGATTCAATTTTATTTTGTATTTATTTTTCTTTTAGGAAAAATTTAAAAATTACCAATAAATGGTAAACCAGCTAAAAATGGTAATATCTTAATCAACAAATCTACTCATGTGTGTTCTACCACAGAGATGTTAATGACAAAAATAATTCTGTGCTGCTTTTTAAATTGTGACTACTGAAAAGCCAAAAAACAGTTAAGCATGTAAGCAACAGAACTTCTAATAGAAAGCTACACAAAAATACATTTCAAATTGCTTTTTAATCATTAATCTAAAATTATATACAAACATTATCAAGCTACACCTCACGCATAGATGAAGTATGCAAGAACAGAACAAGTCTTTCACGAAGTAACCTACCTGGCCTTCTTGAATAAAGAAAAGTAGAAATACAGTCTTACCATCTAGCAGGTTAATTTGCATACAAGTTCTTTTTAATCTAGTGTTTCCCCTCTGCTAGTAAATATTGTGGGTGACTGGGTAAAAGTGAGCGTGTGCCACATCTCAGTTAATCTTTTACCAGTCCAACCAGAGGTGCTGTGAACAGCAGAGAAGCCAACACATGCCCTGCCTCCTACAGTGACAGCAATCTCTAGATGAAAGATAGGAAAGTGCGTGGCAGAAATATCTTCCATGGGCACAGATAAAAGACAGAACTTCCAAAATTTATTGCAGCTGTACCACTTATATTTATGCATTAATGTATGTTATATTTCATTTCTTTGTGTATTGCATCAATATTATTACCAATTACGTAATAAACACTGAAAGCCATATGACTAAGCATACCAAAATAAAAATTACATATCCTGACTATTAACCACTACTGCCTGGCCAAGACAGTCCAGGAGTTTTGGCCAAGGCCAAAAAGAGTTAATGGAAAAAACAGTCTCAGCCTGCCTTTGTGTACAGCTATAGGAACAAGACAATAGGAAGAACTTCAGCAGGTCAGCCTGCAGTCTGTCAGCTGCGCTGCAATAAATGTCCCTATTCAGGCTTCATTCTGTGGTAAAAATAAGGAAGTTTACACATTAAGCAAATCGCTGAAGGCATGCATACAACACAAACAGACCCAGCTAAAATGCTCTAATTCTGATCTAGCCCATTTTGTGGTAGGCATAGCTTTAGTAACAGTATGCCCACAGCCCATGAACTAAAGATGCTTTAAAAGACAAGTTTTATAAATTCTAAAAGCAGATTAATTTTTAGTCATAATTCTCTGTTTTGATTTCCTCTAACCTGCTTACATCTTGGTTGATGAAAATAATAGGGCACTGCCCCTCCCACCCAAAATTGCATCACAATCCAAAGTGGATTCTGTGAATGTGCTCAAGTCTACCACACTAATGGAAAAGTCTGCTAAGGCCCTGTGCTGACCAGTATCTAGAATCTTCCAGCAAATTATACCAGAATAACACAGCTGGAAAACATTTTTCTGTCCACAAAATTCATATAAAAGTAAGAAATTACATTTCGTTCTCTCAGAAGCATAAAGATCTTGTCTTAATCTAGGTTTTAGATCAAGAAAGAAGTTCAGTTCAGTGAAAGAATCCTATGAAAATTCATAATGGTCAACACAGAGGACCCAAATGCTGACTTATGGGCTAGTGGTGGGACCAGCTAGAAGCAGGCAACAGGAAACAGTACCACCTATTTTGTTAAAACATCTAACCACTAAGGTGAAATGCGGAGACAGTGAGCAAGCTCCGGAATGCAATGGGTCTTCATATTGCAGTCACTAAGGTTGAAGCCCCACGCTCCTCAGTTTAGAAAGGACTATCCGTTACTTAAACAGTTTATTATAGTAGCATGGAAAACCAAGCCTTAGACAAGCTAGTAGCTTATCCTGGATTATAAAAAATGCCACTAAAGACAAGAACAATATCCTAGGAAGCCTGACTTTTAAGACTTTTCTAAAGCTATTAAACAGTGTACTGTACGTAGCATGAAAAACAAACCATCAAAAGTAAACAAATTCAAATTTATGTCTTCTATTTCACTTTTAATACTCATCTATCCAGGAATATTGTAGAGGGCTCAGAACAAATACAATATATGTGGCAGCACAGTAGTGTGAGTTTATAGCTGAGCAGCAGCCATAACTCTTTTTTTATATTACTGTACCTTAAAATTACTTTGTTTTCTTGTACGATTCTTGTGTCTTTTCTGTTTTAAATATAGTTTTATGAGAACAAGTTTTGATTAACAAATAGCATGCTGCCTAAGGCTTCAAATTGGTCAGACTACTTATTTTCTTGAAAGAAAAATGTAACATGTGTTTGGCTATGGTCGTGTTTACTTAGAAAACATTCAACATCCTGAAATATCAATTAACCTTTTGAGAGTGGTGACATGTTTCTGCATGGCATTTGTGCCAAGGCACAGTAGTGGTAGCCAAAAGTGGTACATATTCTAGGGCAAATTTTTTCAAAAATGAAAGGAGTACAAAGTTATTTTCACTTCTGATACAAAATTTGCTATAGAAAACAAAATGTTTGGGAGGCTATATGGTGCCAGAATCTGCGATATATTACCTGAGAAGTATTGGGGCGGGGGGGGGAAGCATTTCTCCAAGACTAGCATGAAAATAAAGCCATATTTTTACTTACTGTAGACCTTTAGCTTCTTTTTACAATTTATTAGCAGTTTAGAAATGTGCAAGCTACCTTGCCACTGCAACAATAAACACCATTGAAAATGTACTATTTAGCAGTGTAAGTTCTCACCGATACTTGGCACTTATTTAACCTCAGGGTTATGTTTAGAAAACAAAAAAGCAGGTGCAAGCTGGAAAACAAGGAAAGGAAAAAACATAGATACTAAATAAAACCAATAGTAAGCATGTATGACAATGCTTCAGATCTCCTCCATGAATCCTACGGCAAAGAATTCAGGGTGACGAAAACACGAAGAAGCTAACCCTCAGTCCCCATGTCCATTGTGTTCCACTCAGGCTTCTGAAGAGAATACCATGACAGCCAGGACTAACAGGCAGGAAGAACCTATGCCCTTCTCCCTTCCGGCGTTCACTCAGCCCTAGCTGTAGAACAGGTAAGGTGGTACCTCCTACAAACGTAGTGCTGCTCCTCAGTGGCCATCCACACCTGTCCCAGTAGCAGATCCACACTAGAGGGCTGCCAGTTCACCTAATATGAGAATCTGACCCTTCATCTGTAGATCACTAACCCCTTTACAGGTACATAAATACATCATCTCTGCTCTGTCTATGATGAAGTCTATGATATCCACAGCTGTTTTCCTCCAGTGTAAAAACATGGGAGCTTCCAACTCATGCCCGCTGTCTTGTCCAGCAGACTACTTTCCATATGAAATAGGAGAGTGTAGAACTTTACATATTAGGACAAGATCATCAGCAATCTAATATAACTATAGTAAAACATTTGGGTGAAAGTCACCCTCTGCAAAAAGACCACTGTTGTGGTACATCTCCCCCAGCTGCTCGCCTTGTACCTGGGCCGCTCTAAGTTGCCTGACAAGCCTTGGCCTCTGAACAAAGGGTTTGGCAGTTGAGAACCCCTCAACCGTACCAAGCACTCTTGTGTAGCCAAGGAGGAGAGTGGCACTAAGTGTATCAGGGACGTGATCGCCTAAACAAGGTATGAAACACGAACAGAAATAATCAATTATCTCCAGACAATCCTGGCAGCAGTACCATTAAATCTTGAAAAATCACCTGCCTGGATTGTGGAAACTCACGGATGCCTAAAGTCAATCATCTCCCAGTCCTATAAATTCCTCCCTTAAACAGTCCTCCCTAAAGTCCCAAGTGAGACCCTTTGAGCTCTCCTGGACCACAGCGGACTGCGACCAGCACCTCCCTCTGAGTGGGACACCTCTCAGAGTCCATGAACCCTCAAGTTCACGATCAACTCAGAGGCTCGACTGTTCACCTGCTGAGCGATGCAAAGCATTCGATGTATTTGACTGAATTCGAGGGGGATATTTAATAGGTACCTTTGTACATATCTATCTCTTTTCTCTACATCTCCTTATGTGTCTCTATCTCTATATGCATGTGTGATTAAGGAATCTTAGTAAGTTTTAAGTTGACTATGCAGCTCAGTTTTATATGATTTGATACTGTGATTTATCTCAATATCATTAGTGAATTTAATTGTTAGTATTTTGTATTAGATTGTTGCCATCCTAAAGTTACACCAAGCACAAAATGTATCACCACACCAGAATGCCCGACACCCTATCCTTTTAGTCATAAACCATTGACCAAGTCAGGGACGAGAAGTGGGTTTAGCCACATCTAGACTCCTCTCTGAGAAGGAGTTTAGAAAGCAAGAGGGTCCACTCAGAACCTCGTGACTCAACAGGAGGGCATTCCTTTACCTTCCTTTACCTTAGTCATAAAATGGTTGACCAAGTCTGGGAGTAGCAGTGGATTTTGGTCCACTCTGCACCTTGTGACGCAACAGGAGGGTGTCCCCTACTTTCTCTCCTCAATATACACATTAACCCAATTCAACCCACAAGTAAATCATTCCAATTTAATTGTAATTTGGTTTCTCTCTCTATACCTTTTCCACATTGAATAAGTAATAGAGCAGAGCTTGCCTTCAAATTCTGTTAAGTTGCGCTTTTTACAAATTTATATTAAAATCATTCATTTTCTGATATCTTTGGCAGTGA